TATCCCTAAGATGTGAACACAAACAGCAGAAGGCTTGGTTAGGGGCTGGAATTATCAGTACGGTCCCCTTACCACCATGTTACAGAGAAAAAAACTTGATAAGCATCTGTGGTAAAAAAAAAAAAAATGAGGCGAATGGTTGGATTGGAAAACAAAAGATAAAAATGGGACGAAGGAAAAAATTGCTGGGAAAAGGTACAAGAAAGAAAAAAAGACAATTTTGGCGTACGTGATGGCCTATGGCTTTTATATAGGAAAGCAGCACATCATGTTTCACTCTGTGAGAAACGGAAATATTCGAAAAGTGCCCAAATGTTGGCAGTTTGCCAACATTTTCACCTAGGAAAATGATGCGCTGGGGAAAAAATTAAATATTTGATGATTAAGGAATTTTGCCACGTTTGAACGTCAGTAATTTAAATATCAAAAATTCTAGGAAGTCAAGTTTTATCTCTTGTTTTGGAAGTATTTATTTATACAACCCCGGGATTCTTTTAGTGAATCTTATTTGATTGTTACCTTCGGAATTTGATCATATTTCCCACTTTTTTTGAATAAAAACGGTTTAAAATTTTAGAACGATCTTTGGTCGCTAGTGCGCCGACATCTTCACCAGCTATAAGTGCCGCTGAGGAGGTACCACCAGAAATCCCGAAGCCTAATTCTGCGCAGTTTGTTTGGCATTATTTGCAAAGTAAGTAGCATTTTGTTTAATTTGTATATTTTATGGAATTATGGAAAAGGTTGTAACTGAAAGGGAAGTAATGATTAAAATGAATTAAAAACTGAATTGAAATGTTTCGGTCCATTAAGTCGCATACATTCCTATTCAGTGCTGCAACTGGATAACTCGTCAGTGTGACAGCTGCATCAGAAGAGGTATTAGAAACACGCAGTATGGTGTAGTTAAGAGGAAGGAAAAATAAAATTAAAAAATAGGCATTTTGACTGGGCTGGGATGGCGATGGGAAGGAGGGCTGCTTAGGACGGATGGCGGGAGGAGAGGCGGGAGAGGGGGAGGAGGAAGGGGGCTAGCTAATTTAGGGTTTTGGAGAAAATATGAACAAAAAATGAAAGAGTTGTAAGGAATTATTAAAGTTGGTAAGAAATGTTTCGGTCCATTAAGAAACTGTGTTCAGATGATTTCTCCATAAAATAGTTGTCCAGAATCGCAGTTAGTTGGACCCACTCAAGCAATCCAAGTACCATAAATACAGTCGGTTATATGAATCAAAATGAGATCTCACAATGTCTGCTGTAAAAGATGGAGCATTTGTAAAAGGCACGGATAGTAGCACTTTGCGAAAAACATTCTTTTCGCGACTTCGCTTTGGAAGGATACTTTTTAAGCCAGTTGAAGACAGGTTTGGCCTCCTGACTTCTGCCACTACAAATTTACCCATTGAGGTGGATCAGCGAAGCACAGAGGGTATAGTTTCAGCCTCGACTGTTTAGAGAAAGAGCCGAAAAAGATTGGGGTTTTTCCTCATTTGACGACAAAAACTGAAATAATTTGGACTTCTCCATTTTTATGCGTTTTTTGCGGCTATGTAATGCAAAAAACGCATATTAACGAAAGGTTGTCTGTGCGTGTGTGCGTTTGTCTGTGTGTTCGTCTGTACCGATTTTTCATCTCGAGATCTACAAAAGCTACAGGGTTGAAACTTTGGGGACTTAGTCTACATGCATGTACTTGCTCCCATTCCCAATATGGGTGCCCTCACCTGCGTGGTATCCACGTACGGGCTTGCCAAAGTTTTTTAAGGGCAAGCTGCTAACTTGGGAATCAGAAAAATTAGAAAGCTAAAATTTTGGGGGGAAAAGCGTTTCCCGCCCATGTAGGTCTTAATGATTTCAGACCCAGTCTCCGGTTATGCGTAATTTTCACTTACGGGCCCGGGAAAGTTTTTTTAGCGGGTAAGTTGCTAACCCGGGAACCAGAGAAGCTAGAAAACTAAAATTTTGAGGGGAAGTTGTCCGTCCACGCAGGTGTTTATGAGCTCAAACCCAGACATCAGGTATGCGTAGTTCTCAATTACGTGCCCGGGAAACTTTCTTCATGTAAGTTGCTAACTTGGGAAACGGCAAAGCTAGGAAACTAGAATTTTAAGGGGATGTTTCCTGACAGACCTGGTGCCCGGTCTAAATTCGTTTAACTAGAAGCATCTGCAGGAAAAGCCTTTGCCGTTGGCAGCAAAAACCTGCGAGGAACTATGCAAAAAGCGCATCTTCGCACCGTCAGTCAGTGCGCTGGCCAGTTATTCAGTATAGTTTAGCTGGAGAAGAAGAATTTATCTTTTATCAGTAACAAAACAGAGAGGGAATGGGCTGCTTTATAGCAAGGCACAATTTTGATTCTCGTAGGGAAAATCGTCAAACAGTTGTTTCGCAGTGTTTGCTCGTTACCAATTAACAAGAATAAACGAACTTTAGAGGAATAGGACGTGTGAAAAAATTGATAGAATAATTGGTTTTTTTCCCGCCAGTGGGATGGATTTGTACTGAATTCGACCTTAGTTTGTACCTCACATACTTCTCCGTAGAGCCCCATGCATGTTACTGGCATTTTCTTCACTCATGACTCATTTTGTTGTTTAGGTAACAAGGCGCAGAAGCCTTTCGTCGGTGAGCGCCAACCAAAAGTTGCCCGTATGCTAGATACATTCATGGACTGGCTAGTACAATCTTCACTAATGCGATCTCACAACCGATCCGCTTCAAAAAGTAAGTTTTTGGTTAATTTTTATCAAAATTAAGGCATATTGCTTGCATATATGGCCTGTTAAGATTTTTACCACGGCGATTCTTCGCTCTTATTTTTTCGAAAATTTGAAAATGAATTTGTTTTTTCATCTATTTTTGCGATATTCTATTTTTTCGCTACTAATTCTCCACATATCTTTCCACGACCATATAAACAATCAGACTTTCCACCAGATGTACAGGATTTCACTGCGACTAAGCAAGGCAGTAAAATTCGATGGGCAGCGCATATTGCTGGCTCCATCGATAATCGGTGGTTGATCCGCATTAGTGAGTGGTGTCCACGAGAAAGTAAATGACCGCTCGAACAACCTCCGAAAAGGTGGCGCACATGCATCGAATAGGCGGTGGGTACTAACTGAAGATGTGCAGACTATGATTGAAGGGCCTAACATAGGTGCGCACGACATATGGGAGCATCCCGGTAGTATTGCTAACAGGGGATGCCTACACTTAAAACCCGAGCTTTATTGGTAGTATTACTAATTTTGCTTATAAAAAGCACTTTTTTTTGAAGCAAAAAGCATCTTTTTTTGAAGAATTTCTATTTACTTATTGGCCATTATGCATGTCTGGCCTCATTAATCCAAAAAAGCCGATGTTGTTGTCTAATAATTAAGGAGCACAGACTTTTTTTTACTGTTTTTCTTAGCTTTTTTTGACCGAATTTTTCCTGCTGTTAGGCGAATAGCATGTTGGACGAAAGCTACGAAAACTTTCGCCCATTGCTGATCGTTGCTTAAAATATTTTTGTTGTATGAAATTTCAAAATCAACATAACATAGCTGCGAAAAGGCGCAAACTGTTTGAGCGATTTTAAGGGTTTTACTGAAATTTAGCCTGAGGAGAAAGACGATTTTCGATGTATGAAACTTTACAAAGATCATTTTCTACTGAGGGCTAACCAATTCCTTGGTCTGCGTTGGACGTTCGACTCCTAGACCAGCAGTGCTTGAATATTTTTATACTGGCTAACAACTCTTATGTATGTGAATACATAATAAACAAGTATAGGATAGTAAAAAACATTTTATTCGCTGCAGTAGCATCTCCGAGAATGTTTTGCGTTCCTTGGAACGTTATATTAACTGTAGATGTTGAACACTGACATAACCAGTTGTAATAATTATCCTTTTTTCTTCACACATAATTATGATGTTCACAGCGGCACAGGTACCAGTGCTACAAAAGTCCGGGTTTAAAGCTAAAACTGAAGAAAACTCTCTTCCGTACCCCTGGCCGCCTCCCCCACCTTTTCAGGAGACCGTCCTGGATCCGCTTATGCACGTAATGAACATGTGTAGAATGGTAATAAATAGCAACGCGCACCAGACTAGCCGATGCGATCATGCGTTTTGTGCAATTCAGCCCATCGAACGCATAATAAATAGCAACGCACACCAGACTAGCCGGTGCGATCATGCGTTTTGTGCAATTCAGCCCATCGAACGATTGCTAACGCGCACCAGACTAGCCGGTGTGATCATGCGTTTTGTGCAATTCAGCCCATCGAACGATTGCCTATTAATGATTTTTGCTGCTTTGTACTTTAGTGGATGCAAAAATATTTGAAACATTGAAAAATAGTTAGAAATTTCACGCACCTGCGCATGAAAGCTGAATTCGACATCTTGAAGGGTGAATATCTTCCCGTGATTCCCGAGTTAATAGGTTACCCGCCAAAATTTTCACGAGGCTGCAAGTGATACTCAAGAGCGCGGGAACGCTGAATTTGAATAGGTAAGGTTGAGTGTGTGCAGAGGGTCATTACCCTAAAATTTCAGCTCCCTAGACCCCGTGGTTCCCGAGAAATAATTTATCCGTGAAAACTTCCACTTGCCCGTAGGTGGTACCCGAGAGCACGGGAACGCTGAATTTGAATGGGCAAGGTTGAGCGTGGGCAGGGGGTCATTACCCTAAAATTCCAGCCTCTTGGACTCCGTGGTTTCCGAGATATTAATTTACCCGTCAAAAACTTTCACGGGGCCATACGTGTTATCCACGGGTACGGGGAAGCTGGATTTAAATTTGCGGGGTCACAGGTGGGTGGGGAACGTTCCCCTAAATTTTCAGCTTCCTAGCTTTTTTGGTTTCCGAGTTAAAAGTTGCGGACAAGTTGCTGCGGACACACACACAGACAACCCCGTGACAATATGCGTTTTGTACTGCTGTTACACAGCACAAAACGCATAAAAAACAATTTACAGTTCTCTGCAATAGAACAGAGAATAAGATTCCCCGGCTTGACGATATTTTTGTTTTTTATCCCAAAAATATTCGATTTCCTCACCGGCAGTCCGAGTGGTCTCCATGGTCTCTGACGTTTTATTTTAGGTAAAGCGTTAAATCGCTCCTTGATGCTCTTTTCTTAAGATATTGATAATCTAGGGGTAAGATAATTTGACAGGCAATGATCTATCAGCTAGCAATAAGTTCCATTACAGTTCCGTGTAAGCCAACTCTCAAAAGCTCATCATTTTTGGCACTGCTGTTCAAAAGTCTGGTAAATTTATGTGCTATAGCAAACCATAGCTTTGTGAGTTTTCTAGTGCATTTTAAAAATCTGTGCTCTAAATTCTGTTTGTCCTTCTGCAGGTGGATTTGGATTATCTCCTCTCGTGCATGACCGCACTGGACGGCTACCTGTAACCTCCCCCTTCCCTCGCTCTGTTTGTCCTTCCTCTTCTGCCTCCCTCGGCTTCCTATAACTACTATAAGTGTATAAGGTTCCCCTCCCCCCTGCTTCTCCTTCTCCCTCTATGTCTTCCTCAGCATCCTGTAACTACTATAGTATAAGTGTGTAAGGTTACCGGGTAGCATCGTCGTCATCATCATACGAGGAGCATTTTCCTTTTAACATGGTGCATTTGTTGTCCCAGCTTCATCAATCTGCCTGTAGGTCATTTATGATCTGGTCAAACCAATCGTGTTTCGCCTCATGAATACACTTGTGTGCGATATATGTATTATTGTTATCATTGTTATTATTATCATTATTACTATCATCATTATTATTGTCATTATTATTATCATTATTATTATTGCTGTCATTATTATTATCACCATTATTATTATTATCATCATTATTATTTTATTACCATTATTATTGTCATTATTTATTACTATTATCATTGTTGCTCTTATTATTATCATCAGTGTTATTATTTTTATTATTATTTTGATCATTAACACAGTTATTGCACTGCGCCTCATTATCACTCAAACGAATTGCATATAATCTTTTGTTTGAAAAGCTGACTGATGCTAGCTTCCCTACAGACTTTGCGTGTTGTCTGGGAAATGCTTAACTAAAAAGTCTCTTTTTTGCTTTTTTTTCACTAACTTTTAAATATTAAAACAAATAAAAGAGGTGTTAATTATAAAACTGCATTGAATTAGATGAACCATACTGAGTTAAATGGTTATAATAACGGTATTGAGTCAAATATTGAGTTAGCGGGTCGATATATCACGATAATTTACTTATGGAACTTATCGACTTATCGAGCCGGCAGGCCACAAATTATTTTTCTGTTTCGGTTTTCATGAATTCATATTCACATGGATCTTAGTGATCTTAATGAATTGTATGGATTTTAATGAGCTTAAAAAGTCTTAGCCAGCAACTTTTCCAGCCCTTAAATACTATAATT